TATGTTGTTTAAATATTTGACTTATTTCGTTATTTGCTCTCTAAAATATGGCGTAATTAATGACGAATTATATGATAGAATTCGATGCTCAGAACTCAGGAAATGGCATTTCCGGGGTTCAAATTTCAAAAATTTTCCGGGGGGGGAATGCCCCCGGACCACCCTAATTATTGACGGTTTTGGAGTGCGCCACGGTCAGGGTTTAGGCTGGATCCGCGCCTGTAACGAGCAGCAGTCTTGGCGGTTGGTCGACGTGGCCAGAACTGAAGCCGCAACCACTGAATGCTTGGAATTTTGGTCCCCTCCTCGCATCGCTTGACCACTTGATCATAAAGATCTCTTACACTGAGAGCTGTTGCCAGGTGTGTGATGACTTCATTGTCAGAAACTGCATCATGGCGTCGGTCATGAACAGCTGTCTCAATACTCGCGCTGATGGTTTCTCGACATTTATTGAGGAAATCATCATATTCTAGAGGGCGCCCTTGGTTGCAATGTCGACGGTCCCAAAGTAAGTCAGGGTCCTGCTCATCAAGAACTTGTTCAAGACGGCGGTCTACTTCAGCTTCTTGTAAAGTTTCTGCTGCAGAGCAGTCACCTTTTTTCAAAGAAAACATGAAACATGAAATAATAGTAAACGAAAAAATATACGATTGTTTGAGTCATTCTACAATCCATCACTGTCAAAGTTGCCGGAAAAATGTAATTCAATGAATTTTATCTGCACTATTTTAATATATTGCACTATTTAACTATTTACAGATCATCTAATGACATCATATCCAGCAACTTTAAGTTGACAAAATTGATAAAAGATGAGGTTTTTACTGCAAACATACCATAGCAAAAAATATAATTGGTGTTTGGGGCACGTTAAAGTATCTAAGTAGAGAAAAAACATAGCATTTTCTTTTATTTAATATATCCAGACACAGTTTCTGGTGTAATAGGGTCAGGGTGTGTATTTCGGACAGGTAAAACATGAAGTACATGTCCCTGCTAACACCCTGAGAAAGGCACAAGTATGTAATAAAAAGCATTGGATCCGAATTTATAAACAGAGATACTGAAAGAAAAAGTTCTTTAAGTCGATTAAATTAAACAAACCTGTCAAGGTCCGGTAGGCATACCGCAAAACTGCTTTGTTAGCAACAAGTCCAAACAACTGGACAAATTCCCGTCTCATTGCTCTTGAGTGGAACTTTTTAATATCTTGATGTATCTGTGTAGCAACATCATGGGCTTTGTTGATAGCTTCCTCTACTGTCAAGCTGTCATCGATTCTGCACAAAAAATGTAAAGTTCGTGCCCCACTGGTTTCTGCGATCATCAGGGCTCTCATTGGCAGCTTCAGGTTTGTGACGAACATATACCTCTTTTTTCTATCTGTTGGGGCGTATTCATCAATGAATATGCACTTCCATAGTTCTTTTTCCATCAAAACTCTTACTACATCTCTATATATTTCAATTTCCTCTTCCGACTTTTCAATCACTTTCAGGTACCTATCTTTCTTCACAACCATCGACGACCTGTTTTCCTTGACCTAGAAGAAAATAACAGAATTACTTTTAGAAATTAACAGCTTAGTAAATTAACATGTTTTATCCATTCAAAAAGGAAATATTTGCTGTAAAACCATAACGACTGAGCTGGGCTTTAATATTTGTTTCCAGAAAAATTTTACTCACCCTTTTCGCTTGTGATCGCAAGTACGTGCAGTAGTTTGACATGGAGTTGGCAAGAATGGCAATTGTGTCACGGATTTTTTTCCAGATGGACTTCTTCATATATGGAGCCGATAGAATGTCGAATAGCCTCTGGCTATATTCCCTCAATTTCTCTTCAGACATGCGCGATTCATCAATCGGTCGTTTCTTGGCTTCTACATCTTTTCGTAATCCAGAAAATCGTTGCTTAAACACTAATGGAATGGAACAGCCCCTAGATTCCAGTGTTGCATGATTTTTGTCTATGTGCCAAAGAGCATCACTTAATCCATTCACAAAGGACCATGCATCAGTTTGGTTGTCCGGTGTCCATCCCAGGCCCTCTTCCTCAATCCAGTCAAAGATTGTGTTTTTCAACTTGACAAGTCCAGGAAACTTTTTGCTATTTATTCGTGGAGGAACAATTAACTCCGACCTGGCATTCATAAGAAAACTTGTGACATTGGGTTCAGTGTTTTGTACTTGAGTACTATCGACCATGTTGCTGTTGTTTGAAAGATCTGACAACATAAATCGAACATAGTTGTTAGGCGAAATGTCCAAGACAGTTGCTGATTTTGAAACACTGGTTAGATCGTCCTTTGACTTCCCAACGGAGACGGTTAACAGCTTTCCCCCTCCAACTTCGTCTTCATCTAAAGGTTGATGACATTCGTCCAGCTCACCAGCAGCAAATGCATTAAAAAGTGCGAGTAAACTGATGTTTATGTCCTCTATCTTTGCGCCATACCAGTCTCTGAGGAGAGTAACGCGTCCCTTTTTTGCTATAGTGCAAAATATAAGCGGCATACCAAAAAATCACTGAAATATTTCTACCATATCAGTGATATTTAATATTAATCAGTGATATTTTTACTGATGTGCTGTTGCGAAGGCCGCCATTTTGATATCAGAACCTTGTAACCAGGCCCACGTGCTCCTAGCCTGCGTGGCAGGCCCTCAATTTTATGGGGGGCCTGGTTTGCAGCGGGTAGGATTTTGGCGGAAATTCAAATATTAAATTATAAAACAGTTTTGAATTAAACTGTAAAACCAAGAGATTTCCATTAAAAAAAAAAAAAAATTCAGAGGCGGCAAAAATCGAGAGGCGGGCGGTGACGCTAACCAAGTATTTTTTTTTATTTGGCCTTAACACCTTGGATGACAAGAGGGCTATTAACCTGTGTTAGGAAAAAGAATAAACTCTATAAAAAGTTCATTATTTCACGAAGTCCTGTCAAAGAAAGACAATACAAAAAATACAAAAACAAGCTTACGCATTTGATTAAGATTGCTAAGAAAACATATTATGAGAATAAATTTGAAACTGCAAAAAACGATCACAAAACAACTTGGAAGCTAATAAACGAAGTAATTAATAAACGTAGAACAAAAACCTTACTGCCTTCCTCGTTTATATCAAATAACACCCTTCTCTCTGATCCTAAAGATATTGCTAACAGGTTTTGCAAATATTTCGCTAACATTGGTCCTGATCTTGCAAGTAAGATTCCTGAGACTTCAAACTCTTTTCTTTCTTACCTAAATTCAAATAGCGAAGAATCTATTTCACTTCATCCAACAAATGTAATTGAGCTTTTAGAAATCTGTAACTCTTTTAAAACAGCTAAAGCTCCTGGTTATGATAATCTATCCATGTATGTAATCAAAAAATCTATTGACCTAATAGTACAACCTCTTGTTAATATTATAAATCTTTCTTTATCCAAAGGGGTCTTTCCAAGTAAACTAAAGATCGCTAAAATTATACCAATTTTTAAAACTGGAAATCAAAGTTTCTTTACAAACTATAGACCTATATCACTCCTGACAAACTTTTCAAAGTTATTTGAAAAAGTTATGCAAATCAGGTTAACATCATTCATTGAGCAATGTGAAATTTTGTATAGATTTCAGTTTGGTTTTCGTAGTAACCACTCTACTATGCATTCACTTGTTTCTCTAATAAATAACGTTGCCACGGCCATTGATCAGAACCAGATAGCTGCTGGAGTGTTCATTGATCTTTCAAAAGCTTTTGATACTTTAGATCATGAAATATTATTTACTAAATTACAACATTATGGTATAAGAGGCGTTGCACTACAATGGATCAAGAGCTATTTCTGCAATCGTGAACAATTTGTTCAATATAATGAAACCTGTTCCTCCATGGAAAAATTAAAATCTGGAGTTCCGCAAGGTTCTATTTTAGGCCCATTCTTTTTTATTTTATATATCAATGATCAACCGAATGCATTAGAACTGTCAAAATCTTATCTTTTTGCTGATGACACTAGTATATATTATTCAAATTCGGATATCAAGCAACTTGAATTTGTTTTGAACAGTGAACTTCGAAAGCTGGATATCTGGATGAAGTCAAATAAATTGTCTGTGAACATCAGTAAAACATGCAAACTATATCATTTTTCGGCCGAGACAAAAGAAAATTAATTTAAATCTAGTTATCCAATATAACAATCAAATGATCACCCAAAAACAATGCATAAAATTTTTAGGAGTATATATAGACGAACATTTGTCATGGAAGGAAAATATTAATTATATTTGCAATAAAATCGCCAAGTCTGTTGGAATTATTTACCGATCACGATATCTACTGTCATCCGCAACAAGATTATCCTTGTACTACACACTTATATATCCCTATCTTACTTATTGTAATATTGTATGGTCTTCCACTTATGTAACCAACCTCAATAGAATTCTCCTTTTACAAAAACGAGCTGCACGTATTCTTACAAATTCCGAATACCGTGCACACTCTGATCCACTTTTTAAACAACTCAAAATATTGGATATATTTAAGCTAAATACATTTCACATTGGCAAGTTTATGTTTTTATATCATCATTGCATGTTGCCAACATGCTTTGATAATCTGTTTACAATAAACAATCAAATACATGGTTATAACACCAGATCTGCCGGTAACTTTTGATCTCATGCTTGTCGAACTAATATTAAGCAGTTCACCATCTTATACTCAGGACCGAATATTTGGAATTCTTTACCTACAAATATAACTGCGATAAACACAATCTCGTCTTTCAAGATGCAACTTCGTAATTTTCTGCTTAGCGAATAAGGAACAGCTAACTCTGATCAATATGCTACGACCATGTTTATCGAATATTCAGTAACAATATATAAAATTATTGGAAAATCTATTATATATTTTCGTAAATTTTCTCTCTTATTATAAACTTCATTATGTTTCAATTTCATTATATGTGTCTGTAATTTAATTTCAATTTTATATTATGTCTGTAACCCTAAATTATACCGATTAATTAAATATTTAACTTTGAATTTTTGAGATGAGGTGGCCTCTTTACACAAGCTCTAAGCTTCTTGAGGTCTCCTCGCCGACTTTATTTTATTAATATCTTGTAAATAGCTAACAGTCTTTCTTTTGTTTTGGCAAATAAATCAATCAATCAAAAAATAGGCTGTCCACAAAATGCTGGGCAACTTTTGAGCAAATTTTCCGATTTCTAACTTGAGGCAACTTTTTTCAGTGGAGCAACTTCTTTTATTTTAAGACAGTAATAATACAGAATAACAACATTGCATGGTTGAGGTATTACAATTCATGACGTGGAAATAGATAGTTTAGCGAGGAGGCACATTGTTCATGGAATCATAGCGCTGTGAAAGTAATCTTTGGCATAATAAAGCAATCATCCAGGGAAAGTGGTGAAAATGATGTTTCTCCCATGACCCATGTTTCGAATGAGGCTGTTGGAATTGTTTGATGATCCTCATGCATGACAACGCTCGTGACTTAGAACTTTAACTTGCTACGATGGTTGGTGATGGTAAGCGCTTTGTTTCAGCAACATAATTATTACCTTGAAGGGGATGGCCTAGCGTTTGTCAGCTTTAGCCTCATGCAATAGCCATTGAAAGTTATCTTAACACTGAGGCAAAAGCTCAAGAGCGTGATGCTGGAAAAGTGCTAATATACAATCAGATGGTTGCACAAACGAAGGCCTGCATTACCCCAGGTTTCAGATTCTACCAGCACAATCAGTGTGGAATTTAATGACACAGTCCGTGCATTCAAAGCTGCTCGATTTTGCTGCCCGGTGAAAGTGAAAGAACTACACCCAAATGCACCGGCCTCTGTCCAGAAACTGAAGCAATTTGGATTTTTTACTTGATGCTGCGATTGCAGATCTTGTCAGTGCCGTAGCTAGCATGTATAGTTGGGGGGGTGTAGGCCAAAAATTTCCGAATGACGAAGAAAATTTCCGAATATTTAATGGCATACGAAGCTGGCATATGAAGATGTAGGAAATTTTTTTTTCAATCGACCTCCACTTGTCGCCAAAAAATTTCGGTCAGTGTACCATTTTAAGGGTCAAAAATGTTTTCCGGACATACCAAAAGTCAAATATTATCTATAAATTGCCTGAATCTCATGATTTTCGTACAAACAGCATATACTATTATTGCCGTGATTTTCCGAGTGGCCAACCCGATTTTCCGAATATGTTAATTCTACAAAAGTTGGGGGGGTTAGCCACCCCCCCCCCCAATACCCCCCTCGCTACGGCCCTGGATCTTGTTGAAGAGCTTCCAAATTATTTTGCCATAAATTGCAGATGGTGTAGCAATTGAAACAGAAGAGGGGAAAGTGAAGTGGTGGTCTGATCATGAGATGGCTCTTCCTATATCAACAGTAGTTAAGAAGATCTTGTTAGTACAACCTAGTTCTGCTTCAGCTGAGCGCGAGGTGTTCAGTTTTCCTCAGAATGCATTTATATTAGCAGCGTTGGAGGAAACTGTCGAGGTCTCAGTCATGCTAAGTGCAAAGATACAACAAGCAAGATGGCTGAAACAAAGCACAAAGTATGTTTTTAGGTTTGATTGATTATTGTGTTAAACAGTGAACAATTGTTCCTTGGTTATAGGTAATTAGCCACTTCTTGTAGTTAATAAATGAAAACCAAGATAAAATTATTGAGCAACTTCTGAGCACTTTTAGATTTTTTGAGCAACTTTTGAGCAACTGTCTGGGAAATTTTAAGCAACTTTTAAAAAAATTTGGAGCATCTTGTGGACAGCCTTAGCCAGCCGTTGGTGTTACAAACTTGCATTTCTTCAGGACAACTGTACATATTTTCTTGTGTTTATAAAATATTCAACGGCAGATCTGCATTAGGATATATCTCACACTGCATTGCGTAATCATTAAATTGGGTGATTCCGTAACAAATCACAGCATCACGTGGTACATATTCTGTATTTTTATAATATATACCATGTACAGTGCTTCCACTTGCAACGATTTTTCCTTGCAGCAAGGAAATATTGGTCCTTAATTGCAAGGAATATGCAAGGAAATGAGTTTTACAAGGAAATGGGAAGGAAAAATACAAAAATTAAAGGAGATTGCAAGGAGATTGCAAGAACTTATACCAGTTAGGCAGTTACAAGTCAGATACCACTTAAACCAGTAAAAATGAACTTATAAATAGTATAGGCCTAACAAAAGCAGAGGTACAGAAGAATCTGAAAATGCCATTCTGGCGAACTAGAGACTATACATTACAAAATTTCAGTAACTGAAAATTTTTAAGAATTTGTCAGGGGGGAATCTACAAAAAGGGACCATACTAAACCGAGTGTGGAGAAATGATAGATGGTTTGTTGGTAACAAAAAGTTTGGTGTGGTATCGCATTTAATAGTAGGAGGGGAGGGGGGGGGTTTGGAGGTATTCTCCCCCAGAAAAGTTTTGTATTTTTCTATCCCTATGACTGCAATTTCCTGCATTTTCTGAAACAGATTTTTGGATATACAGCATTACATTATGCTGTAGATAGACTGTGTATAGTATGTTTATGTAGATACTACAACTTGGCCACTCAGGGAACCAGCTCGATAAACTTATATATATATATATATATATATATATATATATATGTTTTCAAATACTTCTAGTTTCGAAATCAATTGGGTTTTTTTTTTTTTTGGGGGGGGGGCACAATTATCCCCCCCCCCCGTTCTAAAACACTGGGTTGGGAGCCCGTTGCCCCCTGCGGTCACGCTCTTTTTTAGCCGAGCCTTCTAACAACTCAAATCTATAGGGTCTAAGAAATGCAATCCACTGGAAAATGTTTAAAATCTAATAAGGTATTTACAACACAATGTTTAGCATTAAAAAAAAAGACAGGCCATAAGATTCA